CAGTTAGTAGTTTATATCATTCTTTTGCAGTGTCTTTGAGAAAGGCCAAGGAGGAACAGATTGTTTAAGAGATTTTTTTCATGTGTAGCAACATAACGTTTCTTTTTTGTCCTGACTGACACAGACTTGTGAATTCCTTAAAAGTCAACCTCTGATCTGTAGGAAGAAAAGTACTTGTTTAGAAATTGAGCTTCTCAGTCTCCTCTTGAAATTTGGTGGCTTCAAAGAGTCTTCCATCAGCATGTCTGTTCTGACTGAAATGGAAGGTAAAATTAAAGTCTCCTTTAATTCTCTGAAGTTAGTTATGCTTCACATTAAGAAAGTTTTCTACAAATGCATGATCTAAAGACCTAGGACTATGACGTGGAATAAAATGTAACTCAACATAGTCTCCAACACTGACCAGCAACCACACTGCTCTTCACTCTCTTCTTTCCCTCACAGTTTAGCCTCTTGGGCTTACTGCTGTGCTCCTTTACCATGCCCAGCCTCGACATTTTCTTTGACATGTCTGCTGGTATCGGGCCACAGTCATGTTCAAGCATTTGCAGGCAAGGTTGAAGTTTCAAATCTGGCAGGAAATGTTGATTTTCTGAACACTGGTGAGAAGAGATACAATTAAAGGAGGAACTTCTTTCACCAAATTGATCCTGATTCCAGGTCGTCATAAACTAGTGGGCAAACTCATTTCTGGAGACATTTCGTAAACAAAGCTTTGTTGTGAGGCACGCAGTCTAGCTGTCTTGTCTACAGCAACTGCTGCCTCCAGCACAAACATCCCCCCTCATTTTGCATCTGCACTGCCAAAGCTATGTGTCTTGATGACAGGCATGTTATATTTTGCCATATTTGAAGTCACAAATGCTGTTAAACTGTGTACTACTGTACGTCACAAGATAGCAAGAAAAACAAGACGACCATGTTTCTGACTGTGGGCAGCTGCTGTGCGAAATTCTTCCATCATCATAATCAACTGTTTCTTCAGTAACTTGGAGTAGCTTATTCTGGTGTGGCTGCTCATGCTTGTGCTCCTAGCTTGTGCTTGTCCTTGTGCTTATCCTAACTCGGCCTTCTGCTCCTAACTTACCTTTGTGTTTCTGTTGGGTTTAATTTACCCACAGATACAAGTCTAGCTGGGCTACAGAATTGTGTTCCTGAATTTAAATAAAAGCAGCTTGAATTTAAAAGAAACAAACAAACAAAACACACTCCAGAAGATAAAGAGCTCACAGAAGAGTGTCTACAAGCATGCTGAGACTTACCCAATTCCTCTCTCAGCTTTTAGCAATTTGAAGGACTTGGGATCAGAGATGTGTCTTGCTAAGAAGTTGCTTATCTACCTCCCAGTGCAGTGATCTAGTGTATGGCCTGAAATTTCTGTCTAGTCATTCTAAACAAGGCAGTCTGGACTGCCAGCTGACCTGGTACTGAGTTTTTGACTCCACCCTTGTTTTGCAGGGGAAATTTAGGCAGGGATAAAAAGCAAAAATACATTTTCCTGGGTAGCATAGGACCGAGCAAGGAGCTTCTGCTGTGGCTCTGAGAAGAGTTTCAAAACTGGTGTATATCCTTTAATATTTCATGAGTTGTCATGAATACAAATATCAGTCTTAATGCAATTGTCTCCTGTATTTTTAATAAGCCATACTATTTGTCTCAAATCACTCTTGTACTTAACAATGGAATAAATTATTGGTATTTAAAAAAATTAACATTATTTGAATGTATTTTTATAGTAGGATTATATGCACTTACTCTTAGAAGTAAAGCTTTGTGAAGATGAAATCTAATTCCTACTCCTTTTACTTACATGCTGTAGTAAGCTTAAGCATACAAGTGAAAGCTGATACAGAAAAAAAAGGTTGTACCATAGGATGTGGATCAGGTTTTCAAAAGAGCTGAGCAGGCAACAGCTCTATTTCAGCATTATGGTGAAATGGCTTATTTTTCACAATAGTTTCCTGTAAATTTCCTTCAAAAACATTTGACTCTTGTAGTGGAAATCCTGACCTATAGCAGTATTTCAGAAGTAGTGTGTGATTAAATACACTGTATTACAGTGTTTACCCAAAGCAAGCTCATCAGAAGCATATTCTTGCTAAGTGGCTGTGAAAAGTGATAATGTTGATATATACTTGCCTTTTGAATGCCATATCAATTTGCTCAGTTAACAGATTCATTTTTATTTACCAGATGCAAATTCAGTCTTTTAGTGAACTTTGAATTTCTTTCACAGATCTAATTAAATGCAGCTGAAGGATGTACATAAAAACTGTTTTGGGGGACAAATTCTTAATGGTCGTAGTATGTGAATAGAAAAAGTCTAACCACTATGTGTCAGCAGCAAACTAACAGGAAGCAAAGCCTTAAACCCCAGCAAATACAAAACCTGTAGTGGAATTAACAGGAGGGACCTACATAGAAATACATACAAAATTTTTTTCTAATTTGTTTTATACAAACTATATCCCTTTCTAAGCAAATCATTAGGTGTTTGTGTTTAGCTCATTCTTCCTGTGCTGTTCTAAGGAAGGGAGAACAAGCACGTTTTATTGAATGGAAGACACATGGTTTAATAAAGCTACTAATGTGGACTGTGACTGTCAGTGTGAACCATAACCTAGAAAGTGTTGCACAGGATATATTTTGGAGAACCCGTTCCTGTGAAAGAGTACTAAGTAGCTCTCTGCATGTGACAGTGTCACTCTAGGATTAAGTCTGTCGATAGTAAATTCTTTGAAGATAGCAGCAACTCCTACCAGTTTGTAAAGTGTTATGAGTTCTTATGGCAGTGTATGCATAATCAGCCCTCAAATCCTAGGTTAATTTGTGGGACAAATATACAAAATTTGTTTGAAACACCCCCTGCCTTTGCTTTTGCATATAAACTGTTGTAAACTAAAATGACTGGAATTCTTGGATAAGTATGCATTGAAAACCAATTTTTTTTCAACTGAATCGTATTTCAAAGACTAATACTTCAGTTGTAAAGTTCATAATATGAACTTGTTGTTCTTCATAATCATTATGATTTTGGATTAGTTTTAAGAATTCATTATTTTATTTTTTTTTTTAACCATCTAAGAGATGCCAATGATTTGAAAGCTCTGCTATCCCAGAATTAGGATACTTTGCTTTTGATTTTATGTAGCATGATTTTTGGTTAAACTGAAGTGATACCAAATTACTGTAATGTAAGTAAGGTTTATAAAGATAGTGGACAGAGAAATTTCCATGTACTTCTATTTGCCACAGACTTATCTTACAGATTTCCTGTCTCTCTTTACACTTCTTTTACTGTTCATTTTGGAAGGAAAGATCATTAATCTTCTTCTAGTAAATAATGTTGAGAGTAATGGACCACATAGTGTTGCATCAGTCTGGACTGTTTGCTTGGGAGGAGTGAGAATGGTCAAATACTGAAATACTAGCTCTGGGCTTACTGGTACACTGAATTCAGTTCCTCTTTCATTTTAGATATTTCCCATATGGTCCTATACAAGTCTTAAGCACAGGGTTTCAATGTCTTAGGCACTGCAATTCTGCCTGAATCTGACACTGATAAAATTGTGTTTTCACATATATCCCCACAGAGTGATAATGGAGTGCATGGAGTGCACAGATTTGAAGTACACCTAGCATATATCAACTCAAACCCCATTGTTAACCATTTCTTTCTTCCCTAACTTTTTTTTTTCTTTCTTTCTTTCTTTTTTTTTTTTTTTCCCTTTTAAGGAAGATTCTTGCTTGATTTTTGGAGGAGTGGTACAGTTGCCCAGCCCAAAAACCTGTGGGGTCACAGTGGCATTAGGAATTTCTCTGTGTGAAGTTACATACCTACATCCTGCCTGCGTCTGTGCTGATGGTCTTGCACCTAGTGGGTTTTGATAGGTAACATGGAGAGTCCACTCTGTGTGCTGGCTATTGTTAACCTCATTCTGATACACCTTATTTTCTCTGATAAGCTGTACTGGCTTCCCTTTCCACTTCAGAGCACAAATAGTCACACGCTATTTCAACTACATACTGCTCTTCTCCTCCTACCACATCAGTTACTCTTTATAACCTCTGAGGTACTATGCAGAATTAATTTCTTATTCTTTGTCACATGCTTCAGACAGTCAGCCCTTGCTTTGTATTTCTTCCTGCTTTCTGTTTGAGGTGATTCTGAAAACTACATGATAATACTGCTGGAATTGATTCAAGACAAGAAATGCAGTCTTTGTTACAAGGTTAGCTTTTTCTCAGATTCTCTCTTACCAGCCTACTTGACTAGGTGGGTTTTGAGGCTTCCAATACTACGTAAATGACAACGCCTTTCATAAATTTTTATAAACTAATTTACAGTGGTGTCCTGCAAAAAGTTCAGGAATTTCCGTGTATGTTAAGTGAACACTTAATAGTTATTCATCTAGTGCCATTACCAAATGTAGAAGCCAACAGGAAGGAAGAAGAGAACGTACAAGTTTGGGGACTGTAACTGTAGAAGTAGTAATTAAAAAAAAAAAAAAAAGATAAATTGAGATGGTAAAATTTTCAAAAATGTCCTGTAGATGTGGACCATGAATTGCTGATGTTCTTTATATATACAAGATTCAAAATGGGATGATTGTAGTATTTCTGTGCCAAGTGCTTGAATGAATTTTGCTAGAATACATATGTTGAGCTTTGGTAAACAATTCAAAACATCTTTGGTTCAAATAGATGTTAGAGACTTAATGATTAAAACACCTGAAAATATTCCTGATATATTGCTTTATCCAGCTTTCATTGATTACTTTTGTGTGTGGTTTTTTTCTCCTCCCCCCCGCCTTAGTACCTGAGGGAGAATCAACAACTTATGAGCTGTTGGAAGGAGAAAGTAGTAGCTGAGTGATGGACTATTTTTGAAACTTAAGTAAAATTTGGAGAAGAGTGGGAGTTAGTAACTTGGAACATCTGGAAGTATGTAATGAAAACTTATAACAATTATTGTCATTTTGTGTGTCTGTGCATTGAAGGTATCCTGAATTAGCAACTGTGTGCAGAAATCCCAATGCTCTAATTTTGTATCCTGGAGCTGAAGCAACCAATTTGGAAGAAGTTGCTGTGATGTATTCTAGTCCATCTGTTATGATCATCATCGATGGAACATGGAGTCAGGCTAAAGATATATTTTACAAAAATTCTCTCTTCCGGCTTCCCAAGCAGGTGAGTTATAATATGTAGAATAAAAATTTGTAAGTGTTTTGAATAGATGCTTGCCTTCTGACCAGTCAGAACGGAGTATTTTTGTGAGGGTGAAAATCATGGAAATCTTTTTTCCTTCTCAGCTGTAAACAGCTGACAAGATAAGGAAAACTCGAACAATTAAATAAAACAACCTATAAGACTGTGAGAAAGATGGCTGTAAATATTGGGGGGTTTCTGCTCGGTCACTTGATATTTGTCTTTGTTTGTTTTGAGTTAATGCATCTAACTTAATAGTGGATCATTGTTTTGCAAAATTGAAAACTGCTTTGTGTAGAAAATTTTTGCCTGTTGCCTAAGATGTTATACCATATCCAATGAAATAAGCATTTTTCCCCCCCCTGCATAAGTATGTTGCATTACAGTAATAGGAAAGCTGAAAGTAGAATTTTGTAGCCTCTTACAAAAGTGTCACACTCTTTCCTGCATATTTGGTCTTCACCATATTAAAAACTTTCTGACTTTTGGCAAATGTTTCTTAGAATTTAAGCAGAACAAATACTGGCCTCATGTGGTTTGGGGATTTTGTTGGGTTTTTTGGTTGTTTTTTTCTTCTTTTTTTTCCTTGGGAACATCAACATCCACCCACCTGAACTGCCAATAAGACTTAAGCTGTGGTTATACAATTATTACAGCTGTCCCTACCCTAATGAAAATACCCTAGATAGTAATAGAATGTTAATAACATTAATGGACATAGGTTCCCGTTGCTGCATTGTGAATGGTATGACACCACTTTTCAAGGAATTTTTTAGTGGATAATTCAGTGTGGCTTTGGCACAGGAGTCCTGAGTATAAGTTTTGAAGGTAAAACTTAATCTAATGTGACTCAGTTCCTGTTATTGAGTAAGTTTTTTCTCCTCTTATTAGATTGAACTTATTTATATTTATGTCATGTAAACACACCAGGAGGTGTTTCTTTATGTACTACAATTGTGTGTCTGAGGTAAATGCTCAAATTACAGATTTTCTAGGAAAGGCTTTAATTTGGCACACTGCAGTTTTGTACCTGCATTGTGCATCATTCATAACCAACTTCTTCTAAATCCAGAAGCTGGAAAAGGTTACTGGTTGGATTTTTTATAAGTCTTTGAAAGGAAATGTAACATTTTGGTTTTGTAGTTTTGTCATATGCTTGTCAATGGAGCATGGAAAAACTGGTCAAACCATTACATTACTTCTGTGGCTGGAACTTGTGTGCAATACCATAAGTTTGAATTTGTTTGAAAGTCAAATAGCTGTCTAAAGTTTAGCGCTGCCATTGCTTTAGGTTTTATTTTGTGTTGGTTCTTACAGTGAGATCTTGATTTTGCTCCTGACTAGTTCCCCCAGGGTCACACTGGTAGGGAGCTAGGGTGTGGTAAAGCACACAGCTCCTGGAGGGGTGAAGGGCCTCTGGCCCTTTTGAAAGCAAAGATGTGCACCTCCTCAAACTGTCAAATGCAATGAACACAGCTCTTCTGTAAGTAGCTGTCTTAACTACAATCTTCATTCCAGTTTATAACTAGTTTGCAGTTCCTCATTTATTGTGGTTTTTTGAAACTTCTGGGGACTGCAGACTTTCGGTGTGAATTCACAAATGTGTAAGTATTCTGAAATATTTGTTTCCATCAGCTAGGTTGATTTGGCTGTCCAAAATCACATATAGGAGCAGTTTTGCTACAGATCAAAACGGGGCAGAATCACTCAGGTTCTTGTAGATGGCATGATGCCTGTAAGATATTTCTACCCATATATTGTTATAATAGTGTGTCTTAGAGGGAAGTTTTTCAACATTTATAAAAAATAGTGCCCACTGGGTGGTATAAACAAGGATTTTGTTTCATTTTCTAAAGTATTTCCATAAGACTAGTATTATTTGTCCAGGTGTAATTTGTTGACAAAGCTGCCATTTTCATTCAGGGACATTACTGCAAGTATATTGTAGAAAAAGTATTAATACCAACAGTTTTACTAACAGAAAAAATTCTCTTCATCCTTCGATTAACTTTTGATCAGTGAGAAGATGACTACCTCTTCAGGAGGGGAGAGGAGGTGGCAATTTGCAAACTTAAAAACCAAAGCCTTATGACTATGATGTTAGAACAGTTTAAATGGAATACTGTTAGTCAACATGCTGCTAATTCAAGAAAAGAGCTACTGTAGGTCTTACAAGTAATTTACTTTAAGGGATGAATTCTATTTTATATCAAATCTGGGAGTTGCTTTTAGGCTCTTACTATAGTATAGAAATTAGGTTATATTGGTGTAATTGAAACAGAAGAGTAGATTCTAGGTTTTAGTCAAATTATTTTGGCCTTCAGAGGAAGATGGTAAAACAGATGGAATTTACATCTAGGAACTTACGGGATTCATTTCATGTGTTTCAATTTAACTGCAACTTTACGAACAGATTTTATGGAATTTATTTTACTGCAATCCATTTCAAATTCTGCAGTACATTTGTCATATGCTGAGGCACCTAACCATGGATACATGACTTGCCTTTAAGTGAGAAAGTGTTTCCATTCATAATCTCTTTAGTTGGGCCCTACCAAATTTGCCAGCAAAAGTAAAAAATCACAGATTCTGTAAACTGGCTATTCTCAATTGCAGAGAGTATTCCCCAGTTAGAAAAAGCAGAAGAAAACACTTTTTCCTAATCTATTCACTTGCGGGGAGGGGCAGAGAGAGAAAAAAAATTGGTTGTCATTCTTGTCTGTTCCTTTTAAAACTTGCAAAGATAGTTTTAGCTTTGTTAGCCAAAGCCACTAATTATTTAATTATTCCTGTTCTTTTGCAGCTTTCTTTTTTTTTTTTTTTTTTTTTTAATTTTGGTGTGGGGGGTTGTGGTTTTTTTTTTTTTTTGGCCTGAGAGAAACAGATTAATATCTTCAAAGATAAGATCCAATGGTTGCAGATAAACTCTAGCCCACTATTCTGCAACAGCCCTTTTCTATTAATTTGTACTGTGATTAGTGTCCTTTCTTGAAAATTAACTTGGGGAGTAGTAGCTTTGGTGTTCTAGATGGCCTTCCTTTTCGCTTCTCTTTTCTTATGTACTTGCTGCTGACAGAATTTCCTCTCAATGGATACATGTAAGACAGGTTATCTCTGCAAAACCTGGAAGAAACAGAAGTGTATTGCATGTTTTTTTGAAAGGTATTTTTTTTTGTCCAATCATTTAAAAATTGACTTAAGTCATTTACTTCTGGTGTGCCTAAATCAACTTTGTTCATGCCACCTTCCTCTATAAAGCTGAAACCTGATCATTGTTTCAGGTTTTTTTTATTGCTGACAGTTAGACTGTCTTGGACTGTGGATTTTGATTTTTGGAAGATCAGTTATTTGAGCATATTCCAGGTGATTGCTGCTTTATGGCACTTGACTACTACCCCTGTCTGCCCATAGTCAGTGTTTTTGGCAGATCAGATCAGTAGGAGCATTATGATGAAACAGTGCTATGTCTAGATAATCCATTTTGTTATCTGTCTCTTCTTCTAGATAGCATCATCTTCGATTTCTCTTTCATTATGGTGTTGAGAGTAGCTTCTGGGCTGTTACTTACTCATCTTAGATTACTGCTATTTCATAATAATAATTGCTGTGTTAGAACCTATTTCTCATCCTATATTGTAAACTATAAAATTTGATTTTTCTCTATTCAGTTGTTAACATGTAAGCTTAGATTCTAATGACCTGTTGAAATAAAAACAGCTGAACCAGAAAGAAATTGATAGTATTTCTTTGTTTAGAAAAAAGCTAATATTTTGCTTATAGTTTTACTATGGTACCTGGATTTTTTGGTAATGATGTTTGTCTTGTTTCACTTTATTCCATATTAACACTTATTTTCCTCTGCTTCACTCTTGCACATTGTTGCTGAGAAAAATAGATCAGGAGCTAACCAGCTAGAGAAACAATGGTTGATTACAACAGATAACTCTTGAGAATAATCAATGGAATTAAGTACCATGAGTTGAAGTCCTACTTCCATATGGGAAAGATGTTGGAAATAAAGTATTTTCCAAATACCTTCTTTAAGCAACTTCATGTTGGAATTTTGTTCCCTGTGTTATTGTTCCATTTTGCCTGTGAACCATACTTTTATTTATACAAGTATAAAGAAAATGGTCAGTCATGCATAAACCAGCAGAATTCATTGAGTAGTAAAATGAAAAGAGAGATAGTTGATCCAGTTTTGTCCAATAGTTGAGAAGGTCTTTAAGCTCAAAACTGCACTGTTCCAAAGAGCAAAATTTTATATATTCATAATGTAAATGCAGGGGCATAAAAAGAATCTGTATTACGTGTAGAACTAAAATACTTGTTTTAACCTGCCAAGCACAGTATTGAGTAAATAAGGTGCAGAAAGTGAATAATACTTCAGGATAAGTTCATCTCTTACTTAACCTTCTGTATTACAAACACATTAATTTGGTCACACTGATGTAACTAGAACATCACCTGAGGTGCCTGTCAGAAACACCTGACAGGAAACACATCTATGAAAAAAATACACCCTGCTGACTTACTAGTCATCCAAATTCTGCCTCACCTGTTTCTGGTTGCAGCAAGCGTCTGAGAGCACAGAAGTGAAGTTACTAATCTGATTTGTACTTTATCATTATGGAAGAACTCAATGTTAAAAACAAATTCCTTAAAATACTTTTATTTTCAAAATGCAAATGGTTTCAACATTTTGGTTTTTGTTAGAAGTACATAATGTTCTATTAGGCCTTTTGGCTTATCTGAGTGATTTGATCTTATGGCAAGAATGAAAGAATCCATGGGTGAAATTTTAGGGGTCATAAAAGATAATTATTCAGAGTGGAAGTCCACAGAGACTCTGAAAATTACCAGGTCTCTAATACTCAGGCCTTGCCATATATTTGAGAATTTATTGTGTTCCTTTCAGACTTTTTCTTATGTTTTATAGTTACCTTCTTCAGTTCTCCGTGTGGGACCATGTCTTCATGCCT